GACGCTGGACTCCGGCCGCTCATGGCTGGACTTGTGTGGGAGTCACTTACCTTTTACTCACATTTTACTCCTTCTACGCTTAACTAAACTATCCACAACACTCTGGCCTTCCAAGCCTTATCTTATCTTCTAGTTCATAACCGTTGGAATACGTGCAATCGTCTATTATCTGGCCGGACTACTTCTTATCCCACATTTTTATCGAGGACTCTCTGACTGTAAGGTGGATGTCGATAATATTTTCTATGTATGCTAGCCGCACCAAAGACACCTCCCCGTAGAGAGAATTTTATCATCATTTGTCACATATGTAAACGTATTTATCTCTTCCGAGATGGTTGACAAAATATCACCCACCGTCTTCGCATCCATCTTTTTAAACCAGATTGATTCAAAATGTACGCGCAAAAGAAAGACATATGAAAGCTTGTTTCCACTAAAATTCATCAATACACATACCCAAACCCTGAGCTGTTGACTGAACACGTTTATTTTAATTAGCAAGAAAAGTAAATGCACTCACCGGTTCGGACCCATTCCATGAATGGCCGCACGAACATCGTTGCACAATGCCTTGGCGAGTGTGCCGTGCGATGCGTGGGCTGGTTGCTTTTGAACGACGTCATGAACAATGTCTCGTGTGAAATTTTCAAGCTGATCAGGTATGAAAAGCTGCTTTGGTTCCAGCTGATAAGTTGGTGCGATTGGAATAGGGACACGGTAGAGTCCAAAGTGTGATAAAGCTAAATGTGGATGACACGAAAAATATTTTAAGAAGGCTTATTGTGAAATGAAGTTATTTCTTATGAGGGATGTCGCAAATCCTCAAACAATATGTATAGAGTGAGGGTATTCGGTAATTTTACAGGAAAAAAACAACGTAGATAATGAATACATATAGCACATTGCTATTCTGATACACACTTTAAGATGACAAAGTGATATGCACACATATATCTGAATTATGCGTTAATTTCTCAAAATGTGAAGGAGGTGAGATGCTGACGCTATTACTTGCCATACGTTTTCTTCTAAGATTTGGAGTTGTTAAAATGCACCACGTCTGTTTGATTTTCAACGAACATGATCTGCGAATATGCAGTTAAAAGGCAATTTCAGGGGACCGAATTTCTCGATCCAGTCGAGGCCAGGAAGTTTGAGGTTTGGAAGCTTGTTGACGAAGCACTTTCCTTTGAATTGAATGCCATCAAAAGAAACGCCACATTCAAGCTCACTCCTGAGCCGGAGAAATCCTCATCATAGCCTTTTTTTCCCCAACTTGATCATCGTGAGCCGTCCAATAACCTGCCAAATGGGCTTAGAGATAGGAGGGGTGACCGAGGCTGTGTCAAGCTGAAAGAGTACAGGCATCGATGCCGTTGATGCTAACCGTAAGCTACCTCCTCTGTGCCCAACATTCAGTCTTGAAGGGGGTTCGAATTGAGTGACACTGTAGGCCGGAATAAGTTGAAGGTCGTTTGAAATGTCTCGTCTTCACATTGTCTACCCTTGATTTGCAGGTTTGCCCGCCAGACAGTGATCTTTTTTATGCCCTCTTTTATTGCAAATCTGGCAAACGTGTTTCTTGAATGGACAGAAGCGAAGGAAACGTCAGTCACCACACTGCCAGCATGCTGATGGTGGCTTTGAGTATTGGGTCTCGGGGCTTCTGTGGAGAAAAAGGCTTCGTGTGGTTGACAGCCTGAACGCTGTTGGCGGCAAACGGGTAACTGGGTTGCTCCACAATCGCAGAATCATGCTTAAGATTATTTAGCCGCTGGCGCTCGGCTGTCAATGTCCGTAGGGTTGCATGGGGATCTTGCTCAATTTTGCTGAGCAGACTAGTTCTGTAACCAATGTATTACCGGCAAACGTTAGGACTCCAGGATACGCATATGTCTAGCATATTAGCTGTCGTCAGCTGCAGTTACCGGCTCCAGTATAGCCACAGAAACTGCCGCTACGCTCGAGTTTCGAAACTTTTGACCAGTGAGCTAGAGACGAAAGTCCTATCAACTGAGACATCGGGTCGATGTCTTGCAGGTTGTCGATCGGGATATGGATTAGTACATAGGTGCACCCTGATCTTTTCCAGGATACACCAACCCCGGCTGTTTCGTCAGGCGAGGGACTTGACAGCCTCGTCAAAGTGTTTGGAAAGTTCAAACGAATGTATTTTGGAATACGCTTTGACGACATGAAGACCTTTGGACGTCAAGGACAGTAATGTCTCAGTTCAGGCGCGAACGAAAACTATCTGCGGTTACTGCTCTATTGCTCATATCCACAGTCAGCGAACAGGGCATCTCAAGTGTCAAGTTCCTCGCCTTACAAAACAGCCAGGGTTGGTGTATCCCGGAGCAGATCGGAGTACACCTATGCACTAGACTAGTTCTAACTTCAGCCTCGCGAGGTGGTTGCAAAGCGTACACAAATATGAGGCATTTTAACTGGTCTTCTGTCATCGATTCCAGCTTGAGTAATTCAAACTTGCGGTTGACGATAATGGCGAAGGTCATCAAACCATCTGCCTCGTTCTTGACCAGTCTGAGACACTGGTATCGAATGATGAAGTAGGAGGGCTTCTCTCTGAAGATCTCTGACAGACGGTTGACGGTTTCGTCGAAAGTGAAGTCACGAGGGATTTCGGCAGAATGATGTCCGTATACCGCTCGTGCTCTCTGATGCCCAGTTTACGTTGTAGCAGGCGCATCTTCGAAGTATCATCCGATTTGGCAAATACCATGCGAAAAATGTCTTCCCAACGTTTAAACCTAGCCTCAAATGTCACGCCAAAGATGGGACCAGGATGAAACTCGGTGATGGAGGCAGCAGCTGCGTCTCCTGTCGTGGACTGTTTCTCAGAGGATTATGGAGCACACTGAACTTCTGCATCATTTTCAGTCGGGCTGCCTCAATCTTAGCTTGCTTTTGCTGCAGGATAGCCAGCAAATGTTCCGCGGAGATAGCTATTGTGATTTATCCGTCGCCAGTTGTTGTAATGGTGGCATCTGATTTGTGTTACCGTAGAATTACGTCTTTCGAATCCCCAAGGAAGAACACAACAGTAAGGAAGTCAATGTGATACCCTCCAGCAGGAGGTTTATTGTGTACAAAACCCGGAGTTGCTTTCTAGGATGGCAGTTGGCGCGGGTTGATCTCCAGCGCGTTGTTTATCCCGTCTTGGGGCAAGCCCCGGCAATCGGTGGCGGACTGACGATGTCCTCACAGTCCGGGGTAAAACCCAATTTCTGAGAGGTGACAGTGGGATCAAGTCATGCGACCAGTTGGTCATTAAGCTGCTGCGACTGCTTGGGCACGCGCTTTTGA